CATAGCAGCAGCAGCTTTGCCTGTCTGTTCCAAATGAATTATGATTTCTACCCCCTCCGCCTCTATTAAACCATCGTTTATTGGCTCCTAATATATAGTAAAAAAAATGTTTTAAAGATATCCTTTAAAAGATGAATATAAGTCATTAATGAAAAACATGTACTATTCTCTCAGTGTAGCTATTTTCAGTCTGCACTGCCCTTTCTCAAACACAAGGTGATGAATGTAGATATTACAGAGGTTTTAAAAAATACCTTTAAAATAACAAAAAATTAAAGATGTAAATGTCTGTGTTGGATGCCAGTTGCTGGAGGCCGGAAGTTTTTAAGAGTCTGGTTAAAAGCCATGGGTCGTGACTCTGTCACGAGGAGACTTCCATGGTCGCCAGGATCTGGGAACAAATCGAGTCGGCTCTGGACCTCAGCTTCTACATATAAGCACGGAGGGACTGACCATGACTTTAGCATGAATACTGTGTGAAGTGCATGCAAATATGCATAACGTGTTTTCTAGGCACTTTACACAGTTAATTTTTTAAATTCCCGGAGGAGGGTGGGTGGAATTATGCTCATATACACAGAAGGGATCAGAGATGTTAAACACTTGCCTAAAGACACACAGCTACTAAGTGGTAGAAGAAGACCTCCCCATGCCTGCTGCTAGGCGGGCGGTCCACACTGTCTCCCAAGGCCTCCGACACTGCTAACACTTATGAGACAAGTGCAATGCCACACGGTGGCCTCCTGGAGAACTTTCTATTTGTCTAGCGCAGCTGTGGGCAAACTACGGCCCGTTTGAAATGAACTAAAAAAAAAAAAAAAAAAGACTACCCTTTTATGTAATGATGTTTACTTTGAATTTATATTAGTTCACACACACACTCCATCCATGCTTTTGTTCCGGCCCTCCGGTCCAGTTTAAGAACTCATTGTGGCTCTCGAGTCAAAAAGTTTGCCCACCCCTGGTCTAGCGGACTCATCTGTGGTTGGAGAAAGCTACATCAGAATGGCGCTCTTCTCTGGGCCTCCTAGAGGCACCCGCTGGCAGGGTGGCCACCGTGGGAGGCGGCGGAGGTAATACACAGCCTGTGGACGCTGCTCCCGGGAAGGAGTCTGTCCCGTGTGCTGCAGCCTCCGGGTCTCCGGAGGCTGCACAGAAGCAGCAGAGGGAAGCGTGTCTCCCAGGAACGCAGGGCACCTGGCCGCCTGCCTCGCTGGGGGGAGAGCCAGGCTTTCGTCCCCGCGGATGGAGCCCTCCTCGCTGTGGCTTTGGAAATTACTGCCGAGACGCTTGGTGATTCTGAACAAGCAGGA